AGAGAGGGGGGGAGAGAATTTTGGGGGAGAGAGAGAGGGGGGGAGAGGGATTTTGGGAGAGAGAGAGAGGGGGGGGATTTTGGGAGAGAGAGAGAGAGAGAGAGGGAGAGGGAGAGGGAGAGGGAGAGGGAGAGGGAGAGAGGGAGAGAGGGAGAGGGAGAGGAAATGATCTGCAAAGCAAAGCAAAGCAAAGCAAAGACATGATCTGCAAACGCCATTAACGCACACAAACACAAATTCAGTGAATTCCATATACTCTCTCACATTTTTCACCCATCAAATATCTCCACAACAATCCTCTTCTCTCTCTCTCTCATCGATGGCCCCGTTGGTCCAAACCAATTTCCATCCCCATCAAATCCGTAAATCAACCAAACGAAATCCTTCCATCTCTCTCTCTCTTCCCTCAATCCCCCCTCTGTTTTTCGTTTTCTTCTAGGTTAACTTCTTCTTCAATCCCTCCATTCTCTCTTCTCTTTCTCCCATCCTTTCCATTTCCTCTCTTTCAATCGGATCAACAAACCTCCAAAACCGGAGGCGCGCGGTTTGTTCCAGACACCGATGATCGGAATCAATCATACAGGTCTCTTGCAGGATTACGCAGAGCTGCACAATGTAATATGTTCTTTTATGCATTTTTTCCCCTGTTTTGATCTCTTCTTTTCATATGTTTCATCTTTACCACTTCTTGTTCTTCGATTATTGTTGTTTTTTTCTTGTTGATTCGCTGCTGAATTTGGTCTGAGATATTAGGAATTGTTTGTCTCTGGTTTTAGAAACGATGAAGATTTGAATAGAGCGCAAGAGGCTTTGAGATTTTATTTGGCTGCTGAGAAAATTGTGAATTACTGAAATATTGCTTTTGATTGCTTTTGATGTTTGTGTTAATTTTTTGTGTCTTTGAATGCTAAAACAACCTTAGAATTGGACAAATTTGTATGTATCCTGGCCCTGGCCCGAGCACCTCAACTGATGCATATATCCTCGACCAAAAGGTTAAACATTCGAACCATTCCATGTGTTTTGTTTTGTGTTTAGTGTTCAAATCATGGTGGCTTCTTGAGATAATTTGCCTTCTGTAATTGCCTACAAGTTGTAAGTTCATACGACTTTGTGATCACGTGTTCATATCGTGATGGCAAGTTACATGGGAGAATAAACATGTTATAGGGTTAGTTTTTTTGATTTCATCGGGTGAGATTAGTCGAGATACGAGGAACTATGAATGTTTTAAATGTTCATAAGTTATAAATTCAATTTTAGACTAGGCCTCTCTAGCGGGGCCTAGTCTAAATTAGTCGAGGTAAGAGTTATAGGGTTAGTTTTCTTATCTGTCGAGCGAGATTAGTCGAGGTACAAGTCAAACTATGAATGTTTCAAACTACCATCTAACTTCAAATTTAGACTAGGCCTCTCACGGGCCTTAGTCTAAATTAGTCGAGGTACGAGTTATAGGGTTGGTTAGTTTTTTAATCTCGTCAAGAGTCGAGGTAGGAGTAAGTATTTTAGAGAGGCCTAGTCTAAATTAGTTGAAGTACGAGTTATAGGGTTGGTTAGTTTTTTAATCTCGTCAAGAGTCGAGGTAGGAGTAAGTATTTTAGAGAGGCCTAGTCTAAATTAGTTGAAGTACTAGTTATAGGGTTACTTTTTTGATCTCGATTGAGATTAGTTGAGGTATGAGTATACAAATGTTTCCATCTCGACTAAATTAGTTGAGGTACAAGTTATAGGGTTACTTTTTTGATCTCGTCGGGTGAGATTAGTCGAGGTACGAGTAACTACAAATGTTTCCATCTAGACTAAATTTGTTGAGGTACAAGTTGTAGGGTTACTTTTTTGATCTCGTCGGGTGAGATTAGTCGAGGTACGAGTATTTCCATCTAGACTAAATTTGTTGAGGTACAAGTTATAGGGTTACTTTTTTGATCTCGTCGGGTGAGATTAGTCAAGGTACGAGTAACTACAAATGTTTCCATTTAGACTAAATTTGTTGAGGTACAAGTTATAGGGTTACTCTTTTGATCTCGTCGGGTGAGATTAGTCGAGGTACGAGTTACTACAAACGTTTCAATCTACCGTCTATAATTTATAACTTCAAATTTAGACTAGGCCTCTCTAGCGGGGCCTAGTCTAAACTAGTCTAGGTACGAGTTATAGGGTTATTTTTTGATCTCGTCGAGTGAGTGAGATTAGTCGAGGTACGAATAACTACAAATGTTTCAATCTACCGTCTATAAGTTATAACTTCAAATTTAGACTAGGCCTTTCTAGCAAACTTAGTCTACGTTATAACTTCAAATCAAGACTAGGCCTAGGCCTTTCTAGCAAACTTAGTCTACGTTATAACTTCAAATCAAGACTAGGCCTCTCTAGCAAGCCTTCTAGCAAGCCTAGTCACGTTATAACTTCAAATTTAGCCTAGTCACGTTATAACTTCAAATTTAGACTAGTCACGTTATAACTTCAAATTTAGACTAGTCACGTTATAACTTCAAATTTAGACTAGTCACGTTATAACTCCAAATTTAGACTAGTCACGTTATAACTCCAAATTTAGACTAGGCCCCTCTCTAACAAGGCCTAGTCTAAATAGTCTAGGTACGAGTTAGGTTACTTTCTTGATCTCGTCGAGTGAGATTAATCAAGATACACCTAATTACAAAGGTTTCAATCTACCTAACTTCAAATTTAGACTAGGCCTCTCTAGCAAGGCCTAGTCTAAATAGTCTAGGTGATCTCGTCGAGTGAGATTAATCAAGATACAAGTAACTATAACTACAAATGTTTCAATCTATCGTTTATAAGTTATTACTTCAAATTTAGACTAGGTCTCTCTAGCAAGGCCTAGTCTAAATTAGTTGAGGTACGAGTAAGTAGGAATGTTTCGTCTATAAGTTATAACTTCAAATTTAAACTAGCCTCTCTTGTGGGGCGGGCCTAGTCTAAATTAGTCGAGGTACAAGTTATAGGGTTACTTGATCTCGTCGAGTGAGATTAGTCGAGTTACGAATAACTACAAATGTTACAATCTACCGTCCATAAGTTATAACTTCAAATTTAGAACTAGGCCTCTTTAGCAGGGCGCTCGGGCACTTAGCATAACTCGGAGAAACTTCATATAGAACTTGACCAATTGAATCATTTTCATTTCAGGAAACAGAAGCCACGAAGGAGAAACTGTTGATCTTGAAGCAGAAAAAGTTGACCCTTTTGGCTGAAGTTCGGTATAGTTTAGAACCATTCTTCTCCTTTGATGTTGAATTTCTGTGAGGAATCTGTTAATGTTGTGAATTGAGCCATGTTTATTTCCATTCTCCTTTAGCTTTTTGAGGCATAAATATGAACTCTTGAAGAACCACCCTGAAACTCAACCAAAGCTTGGTTTCAAGCTGCCACAGAACCTTAAAATCCGACCTCCCGTCTCAAAGAAAGAAAATCGTTCTCAAAAAAGAGAAGCTCGTAACTTAAACCGAAGGGGAGGAATCTCCGATGGGACGGAAGCCACCACTCGAAAAGCTCGGTTGGTTTGCGACGTAAACCAGAAGTCAAGGATGTGCAGCAAGAAGGAAATGAATGTACTCCATTATTTTCCTGTTGTTAGCCAGAAAGAGAGAGTATACAGAGCACATGAAGTTGCTACCAATACGAACATGACCCCGGTGTTCGATCTTAACCAGATCTCGGTACCTATGATGACTCCGAATCTTGCTTCTTATAGTTTAATACATTTGCTATCAGTTCTTTAACATATGTTTCTTGCTTCAGAGGGAGGAAGAAGAATTGCAGGCGGGTTTCGAACCACTAAGAACGGCGGACGACGACGAGCTGAAGAATATCTGTTCGAGAAGCGAAGTCGATGCGAAGAACAGTGACTTGATGGTGTCGTCGATGTGTAGGAATGTTGGCAATGGATCAAACAGAGCAGGAAAAAGGAAGATCTCATGGCAAGACCGAGTGGCATTAAGAGCTTGAAATTCTCTCATCATTTGCCTATGTGGGCAAACTGGGCTTCCTTAAAATTCCATTGTTATTATTATTTTATATAGTTCTCTCACTCGGCTCGAGAAAATTATGACCCTATAACGTTTGTCAATAGAAAGTTCGATAAGGTTCTTAGGAACGACTTTCTAAGTGCTTAAGAAGAGTTTTTAAGTATTAGAAAGAAACTCTTAAGCACGTGGAAAGTCATTCCGAATGTACCTTATTTTTGAAGTATATCTAACGTCGCAAGTTTGGGTTATCATCAAAATTGTGATCTTAATGATGTGTAAATTACGATTTTTTTCATCTTAGGAACTTGGAACGTTGATAGCGGTGGGTAGGTTTACATCTAAGATGAATTTCATATATTCTGGTATGGTAACAAAATATGTATAGATGATAATTTAGAGTTATACGGTGTTTTTTAATATCTTTAAGTTTTTTATTTACGTTTAGGTTAAAGGGGCCAACGTCTTCATGGCACACTGCTTGATGTCTACCTCTAGTACCATTTTTCACTAGCACACTGCCTGATCTGATACCATTTGTAACAGTCCAAGTTCATCGTTAACATATATTATTTGCTGTGGCCCATTAGGTATCACTGTCAACCTCATAGTTTTAAACGACATTGGTGTGCTAGTAATGATGTTGGGCCTGAGAGGAATGAAACATGATGAACACGAGAGTTCTTTTTGGATCCTTGCAAATATCTACAAACAAGACTAATTTATCGAATTAGTTGCTAAGAACACTAGGGTTCTTGTAGGATTCCTTGTAAATATTTACAAATAACGCTAGTTTATCTTATTGTATTTTCTCTCTCTCGTTCTTCGTGTTTTTCATATAAATATATAGTTATTATTGATTCCAACCAATGTTGGGTTAGAAAATAGTTAATCCAATGAATCGATTAAACTTCAAACCTAGCAAGATATGAAAAAAAAATCGGTCATATGGGTTTGAGAAACACAAGTTTCTTTAGAACCAAACATCGAGAGGCGTGTCAGTGAAGACGTTAGCTCCCAACAGGGGATAGATTGTGAGATCTCACATTGGTTGGAGAGAAACGAAACATTTTATAAAACGCATTTTAAAATAGTGAGACTGACAGTGATACGTAATGGGTTAAAGCAGACAATATCTAATATAGAATCAACCCAAGGGAAAGTATGGAATGGATTACCTTGATGATCAAGATCAAGAGTAAAGAAAACTCGTGATTCGAATCAGTCCACAAGAGGTTTGATCAATATTACTCGAATGATTCTGGCATGCAAGTTCTAAACACAAGAATTTGCAAAGTAAATCTTAGCTCTAAACAGAGCTAAAAACAATAGAAACTCTATTCATTTTAATTCCAAAATGCGATGTCTTTAATTAAAACTTTATATAGCATTTACAATCTCTAACAGATGTGACACACTGTTAAGGATATTTAGTAATAAATTATAGTGTACCATATATATTATATTTAATATTTATTATCATAGGTATCTTTTCATTTATTGTTATCGCCGTTTATTACTCTTTCCAATATTCTTGTAATTTATTTAATTATAAATAAGATAACTTTTTAGATGGGGTGGATTATATAAATATTCTCACACATAAACTCCAAAATTAAATTGGCTCGTAAATTAGAAATAACTCTGTATTAAAAACCAGTGACAACCAAATATTTAAATTATAATTAAATAGTGAAATGTGTTTATTAGTCATCCTTAGGTTAGTTCCATAAACTTAGCTGAGTTCATTAAATGCATCTATTTCTTGAACCTCAACTTTGTATAACATGTAAGGGAGGTCTACAATGTCTTCTAGAATTTCCTTTGATGAGCTCACCATAGCTTGAATATAAGTGTACAAGATTTGTTGTAGGTTCTTATCTCTCGTCCTTGTAATTGGACCTTGAGGTATGGAAATTTCTTGGTCGTGGTTCATATCAATATCTACTAGTAGTGGACTTGGGCTGTTACACGATCATAATCGTGAATGAGAATTTTAATTCTCTCAAATTTTTAAGTCTTGATTCTGATCGAGATCTTGTACGAGAAATTGACTGTAACAATTTCACCGAGTTCATGCTTCCATCGAGTTTATTTAACACCATTAAATTCTTGTTTGATACCAAATAAACCAAGAAATAAGAATCAAGTTAAAAAAAAAAAAAAAAAAAAAAAAAAAAAACCTTAAATCCGACGAAAAACTTATTTTGACTCGATTGAGCTAAAGAATTATTTTGAAAATGGACCCATTTTCATAAATGGAAACTAAAAGAATCCACTTTTTTGGAATTTATTTCCAATATAATGAAAGGGGGAGACAAATTTGGACTTCCATTCCCTTGTTCTTCCCTTTTCTTCTAGGAATCTTTTCTTCTTCCTTTCAATTTTTTCTTGTAGATCTTGTTTTTTTTCGCCCCCTCCTTCTGTAGTTTGTTTGTTTTTTTTGTTTTTTTTATTTAGATTTCCGAGAAAGGCATCGATTACAGGTTCGTTTCTTCTCTCCCTCGTTTTTTTTTTCTTTCCCGATTGATGCATTTCCTGTTTTTCCACTTTTGGATTGGAATTGTTACGATCTACGTTAAATCTCGTTTGATCCATGCCCTAGATTGGAATTGTAATTACACATCATGATAGGTTTTCTCGATCGTGGATTTTTTTTTTTTTTTTTATATATATTTGTTTTCGAAATTTTGTTTTTGGATGATTTCCTCCTCGATTTGATAATTAGTTTGCGCGTTCGGTGGAATCGACATGATTTAAGATTCGTATGTTTAGTTGCTTATAAAATGATGATTTGGTTAGAGTTATTGAAATATCGAAAGTTCTTCTTTACTATTTCTGTTGGTTTGATCCATTTCCCCCCATTTTGTCATTCTCATCGTTGATTACATTGTTATGTTCATGTCGAAGGAAATCACTATGATTTCGGCAATTGATTTGGTTGCATAGCGATTTTGTGGTTGGAAGTTCGGCATCTTAGGATTTTGCAGCGAGAATAATTTGGGCGAATCTTAGAAAATCACAATTAAGCTCTTTCCTTGTCGGAGTTTCTTCTCAATGTAATCACAGCCCTCGTATCTTTATAGCCGCTTCATCCACATTTGCCCTATCGCCGTTGTGCTGGCGTGCCCTATCATTAGGATTTTCATTGTGGAGTCGGGAACAAGAGAGGTTGCTTTGCATAATTACATACTTTCAATCCTCTGGGAGAAAGTATGTTATCATTTCACATAACTCAAAGATTTTAATCAATATGGGAATGGTTTCATTAGGATTGCTGGGTTAGGAACAAGAGAGGTTGCTTCGCACAAGTTACATACTTTCTATCCTCAGGAAGAAAAGCCTGTAACATCATTGTTCAGGGAGAAGATCGGGGTGGTTGGAATGTTGTATTGTCCTTTTGGTCCTTAGGTTGTTTGTTGGTCTGTTAAATTGAAAGTTTCTTGTTTCCTATAAAATTGAAAGTTATGCCCTTGGAATAATATTGTACTTCATGGTCTTTTGTTATTGTGATTTAGAGAATTGATTGAATCAAATAGTGATCTGTTGGATGGCTACAGTTAACTTCTGGAGCCATCAATTATTCTGGAATCCTTTGTGATTGTAGGTTGTGATTAGAACCATGCAATGTCATCTGAGGGAAGTTTCATTAAGTTATTAAAATGAATGTATTTATTTGCAGGGTGTTTGAAATAGATCAAGATGCTAGAGCAGTTGCTGATATTCACTAGGGGGGGTTTGATCCTATGGACTTGTAAGGAGCTTGGAAATGCACTTAGAGGGTCTCCTATTGACACTTTAATCAGATCCTGTCTTTTAGAGGAACGGTCGGGTGCAGCATCTTACAATTATGATGCCCCAGGTGCTGCCTACACCCTCAAGTGGACCTTCCACAATGAGCTTGGCCTTGTATTTGTTGCAGTGTATCAACGGATTCTTCATTTATTGTATGTGGATGACTTGCTTTCAATGGTGAAGCAGGGGTTTTCTGAGAAATATGATCCAAAGCAGATGGTCTATGATGATTTTGATGAAACCTTTAGGCAACTTAGAATGGAGGCTGAGGCTCGTGCTAATGAGTTGAAAAATTCAAAGCAGGTGGGAAAGCCATTGAACAATGCCAGGAAGCAAGGGCAGGATCAAAAAACTGGATTTGGAGAAAACAAGAAAAGCAATAGTGGTTTGGCAGATGGAGGAGATGCTGAGCGTACAAAGGGACGTAAGTTGGAGAATGGTTACTCCAATGGCAATCATGTTATAGAATCTAAACTGACAGCAGTCGTTAATGGAAAAGACAATGCAAGTTCCAATGTTGGGGCTTTTGATGTAAATAAACTTCAGAAGCTTAGGTCTAAAGGTGGGAAGAGAACTGATACTATTGCTAACAAGGGCTCCAAGGAAGAGTCAAAGAAAAAGGTAACAAAAAAGAATAGAGTTTGGGATGATAAACCTACTGAGGCAAAATTAGACTTCACAGATGCTGTGGGTGAGGAAGGGGACAACAACATCGAGGTTTTGGCAGCCGATCAGGGCCAAAGTATGATGGACAAAGAAGAGGTCTTTAGTAGTGACAGTGAGGAAGAAGAAGAAGATGAGGAAGGTGACAACGGTAGTAAGCCTGATGCAAAGAAGAAAGGGTGGTTTTCATCTATGTTCCAGAGGTAAACTTCTTTCTGCATTCATGACCTCATCTTTCTTGACCAGTTTACTATCAATTTTAAAAAAAGTTATGGATTATGGTAAACTTACGCTCTTTAGTTCCTTGAGCTTTATTTTATGCAGTTTGACATTTTTCATCGACCATTTTGGTTTCCACTTTCTTTTCCCCCATATTTATTTCTTAACTTTTGTTACGTTTTCTCAATGAAAGTTTTTGTTTCATGAAAAAAAAAATGGTGCTAATTTCCTCTCCTTTTTTCGTCAGTGTGAAATTATTAAATTTATATTACATTTGTTATCTGGGCATTTTATATGTTTTAGCTGGATGGTTGCGTTGGGTTTTGTAGTTGAGTTCAAAACTTGTGACTTACATTTTGAGAGCACTAACAGGCCTTTAATACTGTCATTTAGTAACAAAAACGAGTTATATTGTATAGAAAGTCTTTTGGAGTTTTGATATTAAGATGAACCTATGTGTATGTGTTATATATAATTTTAGAGATGACTTATTTTGTTCTGGGGAGTGTATCTTAAAATCACAACCAGAAATTCCATCTTGTTCTTTGTGACATGACTTATTTTGTGAATACTTTGATATGTAACTTTAATGTGTGATTATCAATCTAATATTTATTTTTATTTTTGGTACTTTCGTGTTTCCAGTATCTCAGGCAAGGCAAGTTTGGATAAGTCAGACCTGGAACCAGCTCTGAAAGCTCTCAAGGACAGGCTCATGACAAAGAATGTGGTATGTTTTCATAACATATTTATCTTATCATCTCTTGTTCGTAACTTTGGCTGCAAATTAACAAGATATATCCTGGTTGGATTTTAGGCCGAGGAGATAGCTGAGAAACTTTGTGAATCAGTAGCTGCTAGTCTCGAGGGAAAAAAGCTAGCTTCTTTCACGAGGATTTCTTCAACGGTGCAGGTACATCTTTGAATAGCCACTTGTCCAGTGTTTATTCTCACCTACATTTCTAATTTAATTTTGTTAGTGACCAAAACTGTAATGACCCAACCTCACCGCTAGCCGATATTGTCCTCTTTGAGCTTTCTCTTTTGGACTTCTCCTCGAGGTTTTTAAAACGCGTCTATTAGGGAGAGGTTTCCACACCCTTATAAAGAATGATTCATATCGTTCTCCTCCCCAACTGATGTGGGATCTCACAAAAGCCATTGCTTTAATTTCTCATTGTAGGCTGCAATGGAAGAAGCTCTAGTCCGCATACTGACTCCAAGACGCTCCATTGACATTCTGAGGGATGTGCATGCTGCAAAAGAACAAAAGAAGCCTTATGTGGTAGTTTTTGTTGGGGTCAATGGAGTTGGAAAATCTACTAATCTTGCCAAGGTCAGGCCCCTTCCTTCCTCCACAAGTTTTCATGTGTTTTCGACATGGCTTTTGTTTAGGGAGTTAAATGCTTAACTTTGATATACAGGTGGCCTATTGGCTTCTGCAGCATAAAGTTAGTGTCATGATGGCTGCCTGCGATACATTTAGATCTGGAGCCGTGGAACAGCTTCGAACTCATGCTCGTAGACTTCAGGTATATGATCTCACATCGATGTTTAATTTTCGTTAATCATGAAATTGTTTATCAGGACTCATTTCCTATGTTTATCCTCAATCTTTTTCAGATCCCTATATTTGAGAAGGGCTATGAGAAAGATCCTGCAATTGTAGCTAAAGAAGCAATCCAAGAGGCATCCCGCAATGGATCAGATGTGGTTCTTGTTGATACAGCTGGGAGAATGCAGGTTTGAATCTTTTCTTATTATCCAAAATTGAAATGATTGTGGATCTCTTGCATATTTTGTAACATTTTTCCATATCATCTCGACCAAATTTCAAATCTTATCAAAGAAATAATATTGAAATGACTGTATTCTGTACACGGTTGATGTGGAAACATGGAACCATTGATAAAAGAAAGAAATGCTGTCTATGAATCACTCGCATATTCTTCAGAATTATACGTATCCGGAGGACTAATTTGAAAAACTCGTAGGGATATGCAAGAACAAACAATTTTTATTAGAAACATTCATCTAGTGAATCTTTGGGAACTTCTATAGGAAATGGACTATACATAATTGTGATCAGTCAAATATTGTAAAGCCTCGGTATCTATTATCGGTCAGAATTGGACCGTAACGGAATTTTGGTCTATACTGGCATCATAATATCTGATTATGGAGGCCTAAATATTGGATGCAAAATTGTATCTGCCTCTATTTTGTTTTTGAATTTTTGATTCATTCATATCAAAACATGTTCCAACTCTCAGGATAACGAACCACTCATGAGAGCTCTCTCAAAGCTTATCAACCTTAACAAACCGGATCTGGTCTTGTTCGTCGGGGAGGCCCTCGTCGGGAATGATGCCGTCGATCAACTATCAAAGTTTAATCAGGTTTTCTTTACATGATACCTATACCTATCCACAGTACTAGTTTTCAACTAGCCCTCTCATCTTATACACTTTCTGGTTCTTGTCACTGCAGAAACTAGCTGATCTCTCAACTACACCCCAACCCAGACTGATTGATGGTATCTTGCTCACGAAGTTCGATACGATCGACGACAAGGTAAACAAATTTAGGAATATTCATAGCTTATCAGGGAAATCCTAATCAATTGCTTGTCGGGGTTACTTGCAGGTCGGAGCAGCATTGTCTATGGTTTACATATCGGGAGCACCGGTAATGTTCGTCGGCTGTGGACAGTCGTATACCGACCTGAAGAAACTCAATGTCAAATTGATCGTCAAAACGCTGATTAAATGAGAGCCCTATGTCCAAGTCTATGCACCCAATGGTATAATGTTATCATCCTTTAGTCTGTTGGATGGATTTGTTTTGCCTTGCCTTTTCCCTCTTCTTTTCCCATGGCTTCCTCTCTTTTGTATTTTTTGAGGTCGTCTGTTTTTCTTCTTTTTTTTTTTTTAATTATTTTTTTGGGTCATTTTAAATACGTAGGGACAAATATATTCGAGTATTGTATCATTTCATCATATGTGAAATATTTAAAATATGAGAACTTATTTCTGACAAATTCACTTTATCCACCTTTTATAATTATTCGAATATAAAATATATTAAAAGTTTACCAACAAATCTATAATTATTCAAAAAAAAAAATTAATAAAAAACAAGGAAAATTGTAACATACAGGTCGAAATCATGAAATTAAATAAATAATATAAAAGAAATTAAATAAAATAAAGAAACATTTTTTCGCTTGGCGTTGGCATTGAACTCGTTCCTAGATGGGTCTAAGTACCATTGGCAAACCCACTAATACAAAAGGATTTTTAATATATTTTATTTATCTCGGGTCAACCTGTGGGTTCTACCCACGCACACGAAACCGAGCCAATTCCGTTCGAGTTTAGAAAAATGAACCTAAACCGAACCGATTCCATTCGAGTTCAGAAAAATGAATCTAATCCATATAATTCGAGTTGGGTTGGTCCGAGTTTTTGGGTTGAATGTGCACCCCTAGTGCTTTCTCAACTTTCATTTTGTCATTACTTCCTTTAATTAAAAGTGTAAACTTATTAGTCACCAACCTACAAAGTTTAGACTTGAAAATACTAAATTCATTCAACCACCAAATTCAAATATTTTTCTTTTAATTAAATCATAATTATTTAAGATGAGTCGATTATATAATGCAAACTAACATCTTACATCAAGGCTTTTACAAATGTAAATATCTTTAAAAAAAAATGACATTCTCCCTTGGGTGAGTTGGGAGTAATAATTTTGGCTCCCAATCGAAGGCAAGGCATTGGAGCAATGGATAAAGATATAGAGATTATAAGGAAGGAGGAGGGGAGTTGGTCAAATTTGAAGGCCTGCATTCACAACTACACACACTTCTTGATTCTTTTACCACACGTTGGGATCTCCTCGTATGAAGCTTTATATTCACCAACTTCCCAGCAATCTGAACGCAACCAAACCAAACTCCATTACAATGAAATTCATTTACTTCAAAATTGCACAAAACCTAACGAGCGCCAAATTCACTGCTCGGAATCATGACCCGGAAAGTTAATGAATCGATACGGATTGTATCTTTGAGTATTATTATTCTCGTGAAAAAAAAAAAAAATTGTATCTTGTTCAAAATGACAATAGCCTCCCTCTCCAGTTCTTGGTTTTTTCAGCTCGGGTTTTGTCCGTGAAAGTTAGTTTCTTCGAAAAAGAAAAAAGAATGCCCACATGTGCTAATGGTTGGTTTTTGGTAGCATGGCAAAATAGTTTGTTCAAACGTTTGACTTAATTCGACCAAGATTAGATATTTGCCAGCAGAAATATTGTCAACATCACAGGATAAGGGCGAAAGTAGAGACGAAGGACGAGAAACGAACCATTTTCCAAGCCAAGTCTTCCGGACCCATGGGTAGAGCTGGACTGGAATAAAGGAAATGTCTTGAGAACTGACGAATGCCATGAAAAAAGAGAAGAAATTAGTTTCAGTAACACTAAATTTGTATGAGAAAAGTGATACAATGAAATTTTAAAATGAGGGGAGGAGGGCCAAGCCCCAAGGAAGTTACTAAAAGAGAACTCTTCCAATTGGCACAAAAAAGATAACAAAGATTTCAAATGTAAGGACCATCAAATTTACCCGAGACATAAAAACAAATAACACAATGCTTAAATTAATCCGTTGCTGTTTCAGAAACTCTAATGTTGTTGTCAATTCAAAAAAGGCCCCAAAAGAGAAATCACCATAATCTATATTATATCAGAAAGAATCAATCATTGAAATCGACTAGTATATATATCTCAGTTGAGGAACCAAAAGCATTCATGATGTAAGCACACTAAGCACTAGAAGGATACGTGATGCTCTTCCCTATAAGCTTGAATGCCTAAGAAGTTATTGGTAGAAGCAACGCATAAAAAGTTATGAACTCATACCAAACACTTAGAGCAAGCAGTGACACTATAAAGGTATTATTAGAACCGCTTAAATTTTGGAGGAGATACACACCTTAGCGAGATTTTGTTGCAGTCTTCTGATATCAGCGGCACTAACACTTCTCAAATATGTTAAAAGCCATCCTGCTTTTAGAGCATCGCTAGAGGAAACAAATAACGCAATCTGCATGAGGAAAATGTCACTTGAGCTCTAGGACATCATAGATAAACGTTCCACGAGATCTCGTGTACTTCATTCACAACTTTCTTGTCCACGGAGATGAAATGATGCTATTAATCATGCGGTTCATCACAAGTAGTCGGTATATGGAAATGGATGGAAAAAACCAACTGTTCATCCCATCCATCAAGTTTAGAAAACCTCTTTCTTTTTATAGAAAACCAATAATTTGAATGAGCACAATTTCTACAATACCCACTTGATCTAAATTCGTCAATTGACACATATTAGGAGAAGGGGTATAAAGGAAAAGGGAAGGGAAAGAGAAGAAGGAAATGAGAGAAAAGAAAAAGAAGGGTGGGAGGACGGCTGCAGCCACGGATGGGATGAGGGAGAAAGAGGGGGGAAGAGGGCAAGGAAGAGAGAGAAATATAATATTTTATAACTTTACAATAATAATATAAAGTTCGTTTTTTTTTGCCACATCAACAACTTAAAATATAAAATTTTGAAAACTCAAGGACTCAAATGCAACCTAAGTCAAACCTCAAGACCTAAAAGTGTAATTTTCCTGAATTTTATCATATCAAATAGAAATATTATCAATGTTGTTGGATCCAAAATCATTTTGAAACATAATTAGTTAGTCATTTATGAAAACACAGTTTTCTTTCTTTTCTTTTTTCTTCTTTTTTTTTTCTTTTTTTGGTAAGGCAAACAGAATTTATTAATGACCGTAACTTTTCCTACTTCCAAGATGTTTTCTCATGCGATTTTCATTGACCGATGAATTTTAATTTCAATCTTATATAACCAAAGATTATATCAATTGCAATATTCATAATCCAATGGAATGTCTCAAATTCATTACCGTAATTGAAATTAAATACGTTACCAATTTTGCTTCAAGGTAAATACTACAAAGAAAGTGACATTGAGACATCGATTTACCTTCCTGTAATCAAGTATTCCTTCAAATGGAAGCTCCAATTCATCACTAACAATGACAGGAATGCAGCCGCTGACAATAGCATCAAACAATCTGGCAGATGATGGAGTGTCGCCAGCAGGATTTAAGCAAAAGGTGGACCTAGAGATGGAAGAAGAAATTCGACAATCTGAAAATTGAAATGGTAACAAAAGAAAACGCAGAAGAGGTTAAAATAAAAGCTTATATATTACTTGCGCATTCCATTCTGAGCGGCTGCTTTCCCTCCTTCACCAGCCGTTCCCTCTTCTATTATTACATCATCTGCACCACTTAGCTCTCCAACAAGTTTTGCCCGTATCTTTCCTCCCTAAGAGAAAATAGAATAGTCTATCAAGAGCTATGTCATGGTTCTAGTCTACTACCAAAGCACTCATCCACCGCCAGCTGAATTTTTAAAAAAATTACATGGCTCTGTTTGGTTCCCTCTTAAGAAATCAACTCATAACTGACCAAAGAAAGTTCATGCGACTCACTAAAGAAAGTAATGCATCTTACTATACATTAAGAAAATGCACGAAGAAATGGTATAGAGTGCAGAAATTACACCGGTATTGACCAAAACTCACCGCATTTCTTTTGAGCCGACCACGGAAAAAGAGCAGTACGTTTCTCTTTGATTGCCCATCTGATAAGCATTTGCTGTCACATAAATCAACATTTGGAACGTAGGGAAGAATAAGGTCCTTTTCCAGATAGACTTGCCCAGGCTTGTACCTAAAAATGTCAGTACATGTCATTTAATCAACCTTCACAGCACATTCAATATCTACTATGAGATTCTATCGTGTAAATGTCTACCAGTTTCCTGTAGAGTCCATATCTGGTAGCAACCAAATGGCCTTCTTCATAGATTTTCTAACGGTCTTAAAAGACCATGGATGATGAACAGGAAGTATGTGATCCCTGCCTTCAGATCGCTTCCATGCAGGTTGATCTGTCACCCACTTTAGAGCCTCCTGGATCCATACGTAAAAAGAACATCAATGCTTTATGGAGCACAAACAAACAACTGAACTTTGAACCAAAATAACATTCCAAAATAATTATGCTCCAGGAAATACGACGATGCAATACAACTGATCAGATCAGCTACCCTCTATGACGGGAGGAAGCCAAACTTACATTGGCATGTGAGATATGCAAATTCAAGTCATTAATGGGATTAATGAATCCATACGTACTCCTTATTCCTCTACCACTAGGCTTCTCAAAAGTACACCTAGAAATTGCACCATCCTTACCCACCTACAACAGTTTTAAATGCCATAAAAATCCTTCCCCTTTAGGATGTTTTCTTCTAGATATAGAGACTCTGCACAAATCATGTTGAACTAAGCCTGTTTATTGAATACCTTGGTCATTGTAACCGTTGTCCCCACAGTAATTAGGTCCATAGCCAATGGGATCTCTTCCTACCTATCCTATAGAAGGGATGGGAGTAATATTGGCAACTCAATCCTCCCTTACAACTACTACCTGCTGCTCACTTCTAAAGATCACTCGCTTAAGAGAAAATCTCCCTTGTCACCTGATTGCTTAAAGAAACCCACTTCCGCCTCAAAGAAATCAGCATAAATTAGTTCATGCAGTAGGAAGAATATCTAATATTACAACTAATTCACTAATTGGGCACATAATCAAACTAACCAATCAACTCACAGAGCAAGTGTGAAATAAAGCCCGGCACTAAACTCTCTAAAAAGAATATTGTTGTATCTTTTCATATGACTATGAATAAACTAAAGAAAGGAAACAACTGCTTTTACAAAATTTGACAAGTGCGAAAAATTACTAATAGCGATATAGACATGTCATGCATAACAATTGGAAGAATAATAAAAGAAAACCTTGGAAGCTCACTCACACCCTGTAAAGTGATTTGCACTGTTGTTTCTCCAACAAAAAGAAGCTGATAGTTGTGAAGAAGGGAATATAGAAGAGATCCGCTTCCTCCTGTCGATATACCCTCACCACGCCTTTTAGCAGTCTCTCTGACTCTGGAGCAATTAGGTCGGCCCACAGCCAGTAATCTATAGAATGCTACAAAAGAAACCCATTTCTTGGCGTTTTAGTTACGACATATAGAAACATGTAAATCTGAAATAACTAAAGTACATGGAAAACTACAAGCATATCAATATACACTGAAGCAAAGCTACCCGGCAACTTCTATATGACTTCGCCCGCTCCATCAGACTATCAACAAGGAACGAGATAAACAAATGTAATATAAAACTACCACAAAAATAATCCACACTTTGAAGCAGTAGAATACCAAATCATTTTTAAGTTTTCCAGAATTTTTAAGGAAAAAAAAATTATCCTTCAAAAGAAAAAAAGGGAAGTCCATCATCCATATCGACTAGAAGATTAACACCGTTTTCAATCTATGTAAGAAGTACGATTCAAACCAGTTCACTTGTTAATTGTTTATAAAATAGATTAAACAGCCTGATTTATTGATAGAACTTTGAGTCGATGTTAGAGTATCTACTATCGGATCGGTAACGTCATTTCCTCTCTATTAATTTAGATAATCGCTCAGCAGTGTCCTTTTCACTCGAGTAATATTGAAAATCACTCGAATATAGCGTTAAATTCACGAAGTCACAAGTGAGGAGACCGTAAAATGTAGATCAATAAACCTACACTATAATACTACCGATTAAGTGTACTTGACACAACAGAATACCTGTTCAATAAGACGGTGCACGGGGCTGCCATTAGAGGTGAGATTGGAGGTCTCTCTGTAGCTATTCCTAAACAACCACAGCAAATCGAAAGTGAACTTCCACGGCATTTCATAAACGTAAACTCTAATCGGCGACCCCAGTGGATAGTACGGATCTCGAACCACCCGCCCCATTTCTGCCTCCGAAAGTGCCTCATCGAGCTTCCTAGACGACTCTTCGACATCTCCGGCCGCAGGAACCGTATCATCGCGACTCGGAGGGGATTTTGGAGCCTTGTGAGTGAGGAAATGCTCGAGTGAGATGACGAATGAGGTCTCGGGTTTGAGAGAGGAAATTGGATGGTGGAAGGAAGTTGGATTGGGATTGGAAGGGGAGAGAAAAACGAGGATGAAGAGGATGGAAATGGCGAGAAGAGAGAGCGTGAAGAGGAGAAGAGATCGATTGGATCTCTGGATCTGAGCAGACATTGATGAAGAAGGGTTCCTCCCTCGCATGGCGTTGCTTGTTCAGCTTCAGAATTTCTATTCCACAATTAGGAATGTGAATGGGGAAGAACAAATACATGGGCAATCCACCATTTTTCTTTTTCTTTTTTCTTTTTTTTTTTAAATTACAAATTTGTTCCCTTTTTATTATTATTAGTTTTTTAATTTCGAACAGTCGACCTTTTAATTTTGGAGGTACGGCTCGAACTATCAACCTTATAATTTGGTGGTAGGGCTCAAACTATTAACGTAGATACGGCTTGAACTATCGACCTTAAAATTTTGAAGGTAAGGCTCGAAATATTGACTTTATAGTTTCAGAGGTAGGGTTTGAACTATCGATCTTATAATTTTAGAGGTAGGGCTCGAACTATAGGTCTTATAATTTCAAAAGTAGGGCTCAAGCTATCAACCTTATAATTTTTGTGGTAGGGCTCAAACTTTCGACCTTATAATTTCGGAAGTAGCGCTCGAACTATTGACCTTATAATTTCAAAGGCAGGGCTCGAACTATCAACGTTATAATTTCAGAGGTAGGGCTCAAACTATCGACCTTATAGTTTCAATGGTAAGGCTCGAACTATCGATTTTATAATTTTAGAAGTAGGGCTCAAACTACTGATCTTATAATTTCATAGGTAAGGCTCGAACTATCGATCTTATAATTTCAGAAGTAGGGTTCAAACTATCGACCTTATAATTTTGGTGGTAGGGCTCGAACTTTCGACCTTATAATTATGGAGGCGGGCACGAGTTATCTGGTGTCCGAACCAATAGATTAGACGACAACAACTGAACTTATTAGATTAGTATTAGCCGTATGTCCCAAAAGAAAATGGGATAATAGAAAGAACAAGAAGGGCGAGAAATTTGATTAATAATCGGACTGATTTACTAAACTATTGTGTTTGGAATCATACCTTCCAAACGAACACTAAAGCGAAACTTGTATTATTCATAAATGATAAATCGTATCGTGTGTATAATAATATATACGCACACACCATCGTATGGTACCAAATCCAAACACCAAGAACTTAAAAACGTGCAGAAGTTAATGTAGAAGTTTACAAGACGCATCTAAACATGTAATGTACGAAGAAGTTACATAAACACATTTTCTTTTAGCATCAAATGAATCTTTCTAGATCAACATAGTGTGATTATCATCTGTTCAAACAAAGCTCAAAAGGAAATGAGATCATTGCCTTTTGACGAATCAGGCTTCTTTGATTCGTGTCCCCGATCGGATGTACTTCCTCCTTTCTTGCCAAATATCATCTCGTCGAGATCGTCCATCATGTCATCGCTGCTTCCGCCGAGAGATCGGCCGCGAGAAGTGGCAGGTTTTCTAACCAGAGCGTCTTCCTTGGCGTGACGGGGAGATTCATCAGGTTCCACAGCAACTGGTATCATGGCAGGTTCTAGTTCACGTGGAACAGTTGAGGGCTTCTTCAGATCTTGATATTTGGCAAGGACTTTCTGAATCTCGTCGTTTACGTTCAATGCCTCGAAAAGTAGGGCCTCGTTGTCTCCAGAGGTCTCGATAATGCTCTGGATGGTTGATTGTGACTGGCGACATTGTAGTACGAGTGTGCTGGTCAGATCATCCTGCAGAGGGGGAGAAACAAGGTAGGATCATTCTATTGGTATATGATCAAATCGACAAAACAATCGGCTTGAACATCGACCAATATCTCCAGAACACGAATTTCGATAAAATTTACCTGGAGCAAAGGAGAATCCCATGGGGTCACAGGTACTCTTTTTATGGGAAATTTAAGCACCAAACCAAAAATAGGGAATCCAAGTCCAATTGCACTAATATGGCAAAATATAATCCCTACTCTTAGGTCCAATTTAACAAAATTAATTGCAACTCTGAAAATTGGAAGAAGCAGAGCATTTCTTAAATCTTATGGTAATGAATACCAAAAGGAACCTAGAAAGCGAATATTCTCCGACACCATGCTTTCACGATGATTCTCGATGTCGGATTGTCTGAGTTCCAGTTTTGATTTTAAAGTATCCATGTTCGGGAGGGGTACCCTCGACCCCCCGCCCTTACCCTTGAGCTATTCTTATTCTTTTTCGGAATCAATTTATTCAGATGTTTCTTATCTGAAAAACAGATCTGATTTAAAGTAGCCTATTGTCATAGCTCTGACCAGCTTCGATTTCAAAACACCTGTAACCAGTCTCTCCACAACCATGAGCGCCTCAATACAAGTTGAGGAGTTGTGAAGTTCAAATTTCAGGAGGAAAAAAGCAGGGGCGATTTGGTATGGTAGTTTATCTATGGCAGTTCAGAGAAAAAATTTATAATTCAACCGAGGACGATTAATAGGTCTTTTTGTACTCTATTTCTTACATGTACCTTTCATAGATCTCATTAGGATATTTGACCAGGAATAGAGTTTATGCTTAAGATCAGCTACAGTAGTTCACCGAGTTTTAAATGAATATTAGACCATGAAATGTTCCAAACATCCATTTGTATCACTTATTAAAGGTTAAAAGCATTATATATGATAAGTGTAAGACAGAGAAAACTCAGAACACTATGAAAAAGATGCATTACCTCCGCTGTATCCTGAGGGGGCGATGAGGATAACACTGTTGATAGAAGCTCAATGCTGTTTCTTGCGACGTCAAATGCTTCCTTCATTTCTTCAGCTGTAAAGGTGTGCACCGGAATATCATGATGATACTGTTCAGTATAAATGACTTCCGTCTCTGAGGCTGAAACAGTGCGAGGGGGAGTGAAAATGGGTGCAAGACTCTCATTGTCCCGACCAGGGAATCGAATGCCTCTTGATTTTAAACTCTGATAAATGAAAACAAAAGAAGATATAATAATTAATTTTCTGCCCTACTCGCAGGGCAAGCATCTAAAAGAAAAAATAGGAAAATAAAATCTGAAATTGTTACTCTCCCATTCGTCTTGCATGGCAGAAACTAAGAAAAAGTCCAAGATAAGAGAAAAGGAAAAAAAAAACTATGTTTCCATATTAGGGGCATTAAAGGTTCGAGGTGGATGATGGGTTTTAGTGCTCATTTGTTGATTGGGCATCATAGAAAAAGATCCTGCAAATTAAAACTTCAAAAGGATATAAAGATGACCATTGACATGATTCCTTTAAATTTTAACGGAAAATTCACATAGCTAGAAACTCTCTCATTTAACCCATTAGGACAAAAGTCTCTCCTCACTGCATGCAACTTGACCCGATAAGCCTAACTTGACCAGATAAGCCTATCATGAACCAAGAGACATCAATCATACAATATACTCCAATAAAAATGTGAAGAAAATATTGTTGAAATTATCAAAAGATATTTCAATTCATGCCACATTGAAGAAGAAGAATGAAGCTTCATTGTTATAAATTTTGGGTGGATCATAATTTAGAGTAATTTAGTTGGTGTTTCTTTTAATGTATTGTAAGGTTTATTTACATAGGGGCTAATTATGACTATAAAGTACACATAGGGGCTAATTATAGTCATTAGGTAGGAATGTTACAAACTCTTAAAATGACTCAAGGTTAAGGGTTTTATTTTGAGACTATATAAAGCCATGTATGTTAGCATTGTAAGACAGACTTGAAAAATGTAGTAAAAAAGCATTTGTGCTTTCATTTAGCCAATGGCTAAGTTTCTTTGCAATTCTATGTAGTTTACGTTGCATGTAGAATCATTCAAGCTCGACATGATCAATCTTGCTTGTGGAGTGATTTGAATCTCAAACAAGTTTTCTTGCCTTGACAAATTTGATCAACAAGAATCATTCAAGCTAGACATGATCGATCTTGCTTGTGGAGTAATTCAAATCTCAAACAAGTGTTCTTGTCGTGAGATATTCGATCAACAAGGTAATCTGAATCTTACTCCCCTTGAAGTGATTCAATATCATTTGGTATCAGAGCTTTCTTTTGGGTTAACTCCATATCATACACACTTTCCACAACCAAGTTCTTGCACTTAGCAATTGACTTCCAAGGACTATAAAACAATCTATTGGGCGTTCTTCATCCCCGTGCTTACTAGGTGCACCTAATTAGGAAGTCTCCAAAGGAAAAAGGGTGCTTTTTGGAGTTTATGATGAGGAAGGTTTGTTTGAAGGCAAGAGAGTTCGTTGAAAGTGTCTTACATCTTGTTATGGATCAGGATTGCCATTTTCTTTAGTTATCTCGATTTGTTTTTTTTTTTTTTTGGTGGGGGGGGGGGGG